GGAGAGAAGGAAATAGGTAGAGGTAGAGGTAGAGAGGAAAGAAAATCAAAGAATACGAAGTTCGGGGATGATTCTGCCAGGATATGCCCTCGGGAATCAAGGGGGTTGCCAGAGCGGTAAAAGGAACAATCTCATTGATGAAAAAAAAAAAAAAAAAGAATCTCCTAATTTGACTCAATTCGAAGCTATTGTCATTTTGCGTATCTCTCACCGCCTTGAGCCTAGTCTCATTTGATTTTGTATAGTCTTTGTATGAACCTGGGGTGATCGGGGGTGATCTGGTGTTGATCTGGGGTGATCTGGATGACCTGGGTGACCTCTGATTTTCACCTCTGGTGGTGTGTATATGGGTGCCTCTTGGGGAGGTTAAGCTCAATTCGACCTTAAGCGGTTCATGAGAGTAGAGTATAGTATACTTTGTATAGACAACTCTAGTAGAGTAATGGGAGAGTGACAAGTAGTCTTTCCTCGATCCCAATTGTGTTTTTAACATTTTAATGTCTTTGGGGGTGTTTCTGTTCATGATCCCGCGGGAAGTGTGACATCCGGAGTTATCAGGCCTGGAGCCTTCAAAAGCTGACAGCATAAGCTGGGAAATGTTATAGTTGGTTTAAAAAAAAAAAAAAAAAAAAACAAAACAAAAGAGCTGAAAAGGGGAAAGGTCGGAATCTGCATACAAGACGGTGAAAGTTCAGGAGACGAGAAATCGATTGGAGGAGAAAGCAGGAAAAAGCGCGTCTGCATGTGTTGTTCGTCAACGTGGAAGAGTCTGTGCGTTACTTGTATAGTCCGTATGTAGTAGGGATTAATTAATTATTTATGTTAAATACCATACTAACTAAATAATACAATACAATGTGATAGATGTGATAGATGTGATATATAGATCTATATGGTTAGAATATATATGCCTGAGGCTAGAATTCTATGTCATCAATGGATTCTCACTTCCTCACTTCTTCTTCTTCTTCTCTTCTTCTCTTCTCTTCTCTTCTCATCCCATATATAACATTATTCTCCCCCCCAAATCCAATTTACTCGTATTTTACAAACTTGAACCTCATGGCTGCACCTCAGCGGAGTCCCCCCTATCCACTCGGCTCATCTCTACCAATCGTCCTGACCCATTTTCATCAGAACCACCCGCTGCATGACAGACGCGCCCTTTTTCTTTTTTTTTTTCTTCTTTTTTTCTTTCCTGTACGATCGCCCACTCTAACCGCCCCTGAGGCTAGCTTCAAACAAAATCTTTTTTTCACTCTCTGGCGTTCCAACGTCCCGGGCCAATGTTGTTCACCTATCAAAATCCACTCTCAGCTTTAATGATTCCACTGTTTACCCGAAAAGAACACGACGAAACCAAAACATGCACTAAAAGGGCCCTAAGATGGCCCCAAAAAGAAAACAAGAAATAACGCTTCCTCAACTGTCCCTTGGTTCTGGAACTGCCAGGACCAACCGATTCCCGAACCAACGATGCAATCCGGCTGAATCTAAGCCTATCTTATACATCCGTACTCCGTATATTACCTACTTAGGTAGCCATTACCATCCCCCTCTTCTCCCCCCACCTGGACTCATATACAAAAAGACCAAAAAGACCATATACAAAAAAAAAAAAAAAAAAGACCTCCCCATCCGTTCGATGCAAATGCAGCCCCCACTCCTCTCAACCCCTCGATTGTACTTTCGGAGGAATCAGAAATCCAGTCTCCCCGCTTCCCGGTCTTTCTTAGTGGTAATTTTGGCCTTTTTTTCCCTTCGAAACTCTTCTGGAAAAAAAAAAAAAAAAACAACACATATGAAACTGGTCCCAGCTGAAACGCCTATTTTCCTCTATTAACTTGGTATGCTTGGTACTTTACCCATATCCATCTAACCTGTACTGTAATACTCTCCAGAAAAACATTGTCCCTGCAGCTTTCCTCCCGAACGCTGGTCTCCTGCGCGATCCCGGCTGCTCAAGTCCGTTTGGCCAGAAAATCTTCCTGCAAAAAAATCCCTAAAAAAACATTAAGGGATTTTTTTGAATGGAGTTTGATTCTACTGCTCTTTTTTCATTTTCTTTGGCTAGAAAGCCTTCAATTGTCATATCACTCGTTTTCCTCTGTCATCCCTTTTGTTTCGTCTCCGTGTGAGAGGATATGGGGACATAAGAGACCTCCCTCTCGTTCTCTGTTGGCGCGTGTCTTTTTGATTGATTTTTTTTTTTTAATATTCTTTCTCTCTCACTCTCTTCGCTTTTCCTCTCAGACATAAATGAGAGATCAATTGATCTAAATTGTGTATCACGACCCTGACGACTCCTGTTCGCTGTCCTTTTTCCGGGATCATAATCTGGGAGGCTTTCTTTGTTTTTTGTTTTTTTTTTTTTCTCTTCTTCTTCTTCTTCTTTTATTGCTTTCTTCCACGTTATATTCTTTTCTTTTCGGAGGGAAAGGGAAGCCGGCTATAATCCGCTTCCATGGTCTGGATATGTCAAATCCATCTGATAGGCCATGGACTGAGGAGGACAAGGTATGGATTCTTTGCCCGGATGTGAATTGGATGCTGACCAATGCAGTACACTCTACTCACTGAGATCCTCAAGAAAGCTGGAATTCCTTCCAGCTATCTAGTACGTATGATTAAAGAATGTGGAATCACTCCAAGCTGGGAGCATATTCCCCTTCCTCAAGGTATTATTGTCCAATTGCCGGCCAAAGCAGAAAGAGTGAAAAAAAAGGCTTTGCAAATCAATATCAACATGGCGCTAACACCTGCCCCGGTCAAGGCCGTTCACTCAGCTCGTGCAAAACGGCCTATCTCAATATGGTTCAGCAGCCTGTGCACCCTCCAACACATTCTGTGGTTCCATTTCCACCGCGATCCGATATGACCGGCCCGCCAGCCCCAATGGATCCCAGCGCGATGCGCAAACGACCATTGTATCCTTCCGACAAGCCAATTCCTCGTGCAATTCAACCAAGGCCACCAGCCAGTACCGCCTCCTACAGCAGCGAAAGCGGAGCATCAGCCCAGCTCTCCCCAAGACTAGATCTTGGCCCCGGCGAACCACCCCGTAAACGGGGACGTCCAAGCAAAGCAGAGACCGAGCGACGCAAGCTTCTAGCTGAGGCCCGTGGTGAAACTTACCCAGCCCCGCGACGGTCAGGGTCTGGTAGACCCCAAGTTCCTCCTTCGCCGACAAGTCCTGCGGCAGGCCCATCGTCTACACCATTCCCGCCAGCACCTCAACTATTCCATGGACCCAAGCCTGTCCCAACCCAAATGCTCTACGACACTTCAACCGTGCTCTCAGCTGTTCCACCACCCGGTCCCTGTCCCGCGCCAAATGACGAGCGCCGCGATATGCCAGGCCGTGCCATGGGCACCAACATGCGCGAACTACCCCGGCCAACAGAGATGGGCCATCCCCTCCCTTCACCACATGCCTTGCAACTAGGCCCCCCAGACGCGTTCCCTAGACTCGGCAACCCAGCCGAGCGGCCCTACAGCTTCGCAGCAGACCGATTCTCCCCGCCAGACAGTGGTCGGCGCGACTCGGTCACTAGTCGACCTGAGCAGCCACCAGGACCGTACTCGGAAGGACGAATGAACACGACACCAGCCGAGAAACCTCCCCGATGACCATTGATATTGATATTTTCCTTTTTTGTATCGTCGTTTTCATTTTTTTCGATCCCAGTCTCGATTATATCTTTCTTTCGACTTTCGATTTCAGCCTTTTGTTTTTTGAGGCCCAAGCGCCATGAATGAATGATCAAGCCATTGATGAACAATAGACAGCGTTCTCATGTTGTGTTTATTGTGTGTGTGGTTTTTTTCCAAGCTCTTCAAGCGACCCCTTTCAACACCGACTTTTCCTCAACAATACAGCACCCCCATGCATGCCTAACACTCTCCTTTTATCCCCGTGTGTCTGCCAACCTAGGTACTTTATACCTAAGGTCAGATAGATCATAGGCCACGGGATGGGAAATGATTTTACTTTCCTTCCCTCTTTTGTGACAGTGACCTTCATACATTCATTGATGCGTCCACGAGTTCCATCACGTTCGATGAAGATAACGGCCTTCATATTCTTGATATTCAATTTGCCTTATTGAATCTTCACACGATTGCCCCCATTCAAACAAGCGAGTCTTTCCACTGCTTTCTTTCTGCTCCTGCTTCCCACTCGTCTCCTAGGCAAACACACAATTTTAATATTGTGCAGCCTGCTCGAAGTACCACGACCCAAGACAAGACAAGACAAGACGTTTACGCTAATTGATGCCCTCCATGTTTAGCATCTTTCTTTTTCCAGTCTCGCTGTCATACTTTCTACTTCCTACCTCCTATCTTTCTGCTTTTTTCTTTCTCTCCAGCCCAGCCCAATGTCTAGCGTGCTATGCATTTGATGATGACGATGATGCATTATGTCTATTGCTACATGGCGATGGCGGTTCTTTGAGCCTTTCGATTTTTTTTTTCTTTAAGGCCTGTTTACCTTGTATTTTATCCTACTATATTTCTGATATTTGATGATATTCTGTTTCCTATTTTGAAATTTTCTGAATCTTGCCTTTTGACTTTGTGTTGATTCTCTTCTATCTCGACTCTCCTTATAAGGTGATGTCTCACATTCTTTGCTTTAGTTAATAATGAACTGATGGTATCCAATTCCACACATATCACTTTGGTCCCCGTTCTTCCTTGCTTATTCCCAATGTACACATTTCAAATCCATATCTTTATACAAAGATACTACTCTGGTACCAGTGCTTAACCCTGGTGTGTAGGTACTTGAATTATAACTCTCAGACTCAGACAGAATACTTTCTGTACTTTATAATTGTACTTTTCAAAGAAGTTTGTTCAACAGGTAATGCATATATATGGGTTAAAGAAAAGAATGGACAAAGAAACTACATATTCAACGCCTTGAATGAAATGCTATCCGCTATCCCTGCACAAACCAAGCTTCACACAATTTCCGCTTAGCGTATCACTCTGTATCACTCTGTACCATCCGACTTTCCACGAACTCGATCAAGGATTCGCCGCAGCTGTGCCTGGGAAGCACCGCTCCCTTCTGTAGACGACACACCCGTCGCCTCTAGAGACGACGGTTCAGGCTCAGGGATAGATTGAGATGGAAGCGACAGACGTTTCGGAGGATGAGGGTGAGGCTCGTGATTCTGGGAGGAATATTTATCTTTACTTGTGTCACCAACCTGCTCTTCCAACCCCTCAGCCTGTCTTTTCTGCAGTATCTGCGAGCGCAGCGCACTAACCGCAGACCCGAAGCCTGAGGGTGTTCTCGACAGAGCAGAAGGAGTGAAATTATTCCCAATTTGAAGATTCAACTCTTTCTCTTTGGCCAGTTTTGTCATTTCGGCGGTGTTTTTCTCGATAAAGCGAGTCAGGTACACCTTTGGACCAGTATCGCGGTCTTTCAGGTTGTACTTGATGCGGTCGAGTTCCTTCCTGTACGCCGTCTCGTAGATATTAAAATCTGCAGCGCCGGGCGATTCACTAACGAACTGTACCGGCTCATCATCCTCCATCTGGTCAGAAGGATCCATTGCATGTTCCGGCTCTTGGAGGATAGATCCCGGCTCGTCACTGATTTCCATTGGTTCCTGCTGCGAGGAGCCGTTGTATGTAGATGGTCCAATGAAGAGGTAGGGAAACTCCTCCTCCAGGGGATCACGGGCATGTCCTCTCGTCCCCTCCAGGCTGCGTTTAGTTCTACCCGAGCTTGCTCGCGAGAGGGGGATGCGAGGTGATGCCGATTGAGAGTGGGGCTGAGCTTCGTGACCAATATCCGGTTGAGCCGGGGACCCCCAGCTGCGGACGGAGCCGGAGTCCTGTCGCTCGGGCTCGAACACACCGCTGGGCCTTTTGCTGCTGCTCCAGCTGTGCTCGGGCCGGGATGAAAAGCTGGCTGAATCACTAGACCCGAGAACTCCGGGATCGTCTCGGAACCCGGCGAAAGGACGCCGGCCGAAGTTCTTGCGCATGTTGGCGCGCAAGCCATGGGCGTCGTGTGCTTGTGGAGCTGCCCCCACTGCTGGAAATGGCTCGTCTGGGTCCATTTCCATTGGTGGTTCGACGAGGTAGGCATCGTGGTCTCCGCCCAGAATGCTCTGACCGAACGTACTTTGAATGGGGGATTGTGCTTTGGTTGGATCGGTTAGTCGCTTGAATTTTTTGACGGCTTTCATCTGCGGGCTTTTGTTAATGGATATTCCCACCAGAATGAGGAATGGTAACATACCACGGTCATAAGATGTCCCATGTTTGTTGTAATGGCCGAGTTCATCTCCTCCTCTGTCGGCGGCTCAATGATTTGCGACGTGTTCTCCTCAAATGACAGTAAAGGATCCGTTCCATGCTTCGTTACCCAGGGGTGTTCCTGTCATGCCTAGTCAGCATTGGCAAGTAGTGTAATTGCGATTGACTCACTCGTAAACCAAACATGTCAATCCGTTTCTCTGGATCTTTCTCGAGAATCCGTCCCATAAGATCTTTGAATACTTCGTCTGACTCTTCTTCGTAGATCAGGGGATCCCCCTGATACTGTCATACAGCTCGAAGATGCTATGCTTCTCAAATGGCAGCCTTCCATATCGCAGGCAATATAGGGTTACTCCCATGGACCAAATATCCGTTGCCCTGCCAGATACATCACCATGTTTGACCACGCACAGCTCTGGCGGGAGAAATGCTGGTGACCCAGCTGACTTGCCAGTAAACATGTTGGAATCTTTTTCAAACATCTCTGATACACCAAAGTCGACCACTTTCAGCATGTCGTCGTTGGTCACCAGACAGTTGTCAGGTTTTATATCTCGATGGACAATGCCCTGCGAATGCAAATACTCAATCCCCAAGATCAGATCACGGAACCAACATCGACATTGCTCATCATCATACGGATCTGCTTTCTCTTCCAGCCCGACCTTCATGACAACGCCCTTCTTGCACATTTCCATCACCATATACAACGAGTCCTCTGTCGGATCGTCCAAGACCTCGATCAATGACACTAGATTGTTATGGTTCAGTTTCTTCATGATTGCAATTTCCTCCTTGATCAGATATAAAGGATTCTTTGCTGTCTCATTATCGCCACCGGAAGGATGCCGATGTAATGGCGAGTTGAAATCCGCTCCTGGCCGAATCGGACCTCGCGGTCTTCGCAACAGATGTGACTGCGCACGTTTCCTTAGTCTAGACTTAGAGAACTCCTTGACTGCCTGGATTTACAGATAGTTTATCTGACAGTTAGCATATCCATTTTGCATGTTGACCAGGCTCATATCTCATATCCGGGTAGGTTCGTGCTCATACATATTCATTGCCGAACTGATCTGCAGCCAGATGGACCGCCCCGAACGATCCACGTCCGATCTCCTGTTTGATCACATATTGGTTGATACGATGTTCCGCGGTACCATCATCTTGGCTCGTATAATACTCGGAGCGGGCGTCCAGTGTTTCCTAGTCCGCAGTATCAGTTCTCCGAAACTGTCATAACGGCATTGAGAGACCGACCTTCACCGGACGCCTTGCTCTTGGGTTTCGTCGCCGGTGCCTCCCAGTACTGTCATAGGATGCAGTAGACCTAGTTACAGATTGGGGCGTTAGCATGATACATCATAGTCAGAAAAGATCATTCTCCTCAGATGTTTCATAATGCAACTCACGCAACTCTGCTCGCCTGGGGCCGCGTATCGTTCATACCCTCCAGTGAGGCGATAGATGGCTCTGCGGATACATCCGACATAGGGGTTGCCACATTCTCATCCATTGAAATACGCTGACTACCAAGTGTTGGTAGAAGATGTGTGGGGTAAGGAAGTTCGAGCGGGGGATTCGATAACGTGAGATGCGGGCTGTCAGCCTTACGAGGCCGCGCTTTGCAAGGATTGCACAAGCGGATCGAATAAATGGTACTAAGCCTTATGTATAATTAAAGAAAAATCACCAGTCGAATCGGAAACTCCGAAGAAAATCTAGGCAGCTCTTTTTTTGATATGGGCTTTTGTTATCGATACGGGAACTAATTTCACCGCCTGGGTCAGCGTCGGAACTCCCCTGAACATCAACAACAACTTGTTTCAGGTCACAAACTATACACAATGGTCGTCTACTCGTTCTACATCTTTGATCGGCATGGTAACGACTCCTCTATTATATAATTGAATCATCTTCATATACTGACTGTCATCCAGCGGAATGCATCTACAAGCGCCGCTGGCTTCCGCGGCCGACCTCCACCGTGGGGAAGTCCCGGTCTGACACCGTCTCCGGCGCAGCACCGACCGGTCTCGGCCAGACAGTGCGATCGACAGACGATGATTCGAAGTTAGTCTTCGGCACAGTATTTTCATTGCGGAATATGGTGCGCAAGCTAGGAGGTGAAGACGACAAGTAAGACTGCCCCTGAAGCAAGCCAGGCATGACCTGCTTGCTGGCCTTTTGGATGTACACGCCGATGCTAACCCCAACTAGCTTTGTGTCATTCACCACCAGCCAGTACAAGCTTCACTACTACGAGACACCGACGAATACCAAGTTTGTCATGCTGACGGACCTCAAGAGTCCCAGTATGCGTATCGCGCTGCAACAGATCTATATCAATCTGTTTGTAGAATATGGTTCGTGATCTCGTTTGGCACACTCGGCCAGTGCTAACTCGGTTCGGTCTATTTAGTGGTTAAAAACCCCCTTTCTCCGACCGAGCATCCCGGCGGTGTGGGCGTGAACAACGAGCTATTCGAGGAATCATTGGAACAGTTTGTGGTGCGTGAATTTTAGTTCTGGCATACCGCCTTAGTTGTTGACTTGTGTTCTGATCTGTTAGCAGACTCGAGTTCTGTCATGATATCGAACTGCGCATCTGGACATCCCTCCCGGAACCTGGAGGTCAGTTCGCGCGAGCAAGTCCCACGTGAAGGAAGGAAAAAGCGACAGGATCTCACCGCTGGGACATGTCGATGCTAGCATATACAAATCAGGTATCTTGAAGGTGCGAGATCGACATAGCTGCAATCGAGCGCACACCGCAGCGGACTCGCCCGTTACCAAGCACAATATTCTACGGGCACCTGCATGCAATAGCACATTTGGTGAGAAACGAGATCATCGGGACACAGCACCAAAGCCAAGCACGACAGGGTTATCCATACCGCCTTTTCATGTGTGGTTGCCATTCAATGAGACTCGTTTCCTTCCCACGTGGCATTCCCAGCGCCGCTAGTCTGCTGTACGCCGGGGAAATTACGGTGCGGAGTGTTCCGGGGGCCGGCCCGCAAAATAGCTCGGTTTCGTCATATCAAGTGTACCAACCAGGAACGCTGAACAGAGTTATTTATTAGTGGTGTTCGGGGAGAGTCGGAAGAACTGATTACCGTTGATATAGCGCAATATCCATGTGCATTGTCTTCCATATTGTCTTCCTATAGGTGATGCAATATCAAAGTTTCCGGTTTTGAACTGCCTGTTTATAGTAAACCTGGGGTATAGGTCGTATAGGGCAAAATAAATGCCGCAGTCACCAACAAACGCCGCGGGAAAAAAAAAAAAAAAATAGTAACAGAATTCAAAATGCCTAAGCCCTGGCTGGGCCTAGAGCGCTAACCATACCCTTAATCCAAACAGCTCCAAGCCAAGAGCCACCTTCGCAACTGGCCCAGTGTGGCTCGTGCGTCCGCTGCTGCATGGAGGCACTGACCCGACAAGCCGATAGGTGTAGACTCGAGAATCAAGTGAGAAGATAGATCATCCGACAATAATTGGATCTTGCAATTGCTTTTTCTACCTACCACGCAAAGAAAAAAGCAAAGCTCAATGCATATTACAACACCCAAAAAAAAACCAGATACCCACAGGCAGCTCTCAGCTTCAGGTCAGATCGTCCCCATCCTGCATCATGCATGACTTGGCTAAAGCACAGACGTCCACACATACAGGTTTAGCACAACGTACATCCACAGCGGGATCAATATATGCCAACGATAAACAAGCTCAGCCCCTCCCATTAACCCGAGCTCTTTTACTCCGTAGCACATATATGTACATGGGAAAGATATCGAGTTAGTTATGTTGTACTAGTGCATACCCATAGGACACATAAAACCACAGCTTATCTCAAGGTTTGACCATTCAAAAACGTCAGATAGGTGTCGCAATGCAAAGCCGACCAATCCTATAACTTCACGGCTGTGTGTGTCTTCCTGCAACCACAAACTGGCGGTCAAGTATGTCCCGGCTTGTATCGGAATTTGGGTTGCAGCCAATGTTGGGTGGCTTTGTAGTTGCTTTTACACTTTTAACACTTTTAAGTAAACATGTGAGCCGATGGATAGTTCCCATGAACTGACTTGATCCTCTACCCCATGAACATGGGGGAGTTATTGGGTAGATGTGGCCCCCAAGATCTTCGCTTTGCCAACGACATGTCATCAGGTATGTGACGGTTTGGTCAATCCTCTCCTCTTGGGATCAACTGCGTCGAAAAGTTCGTATACGCATGCAGAAGAGTGATTCGAACCGAATCAGCGTGCTCGAATAATTTGGTGGAGGGTTGGACTTTACGTGCTGCGGGAGGCTTCTGCTGCTATCATAAATGTGTGTAATGGTAAGTCGGAGATTGGATAACATATTATATGGCTTCTACATTGGTTCAGAGGAAGGGCGTCGAGGACTTGGAAATAGCTAACCCTAATCAGTTCTGTTTTTGAGATAAGACAAAAAGAAAGGAAGGGAGCCAAGGACAAAAACGTACACATAAAGCTCAGTTGGGAACCATTTTTCTATAGCATGAAGCTTGGACATTATGCAGAGCAGATATGCATATTGCTGGCTATCAAAAGCGATTGAACTGCAGGGTCATGAAGGTGGTCCACGAGACGTCAACATGGCTATGGGGCGAAGTACCGTATTTGACAACGAATGAATGAACTCGAATCTTATAATTCGTCGGATCCATTCTATTCATGTTGCCCTTTGTTCTTGATATAAGGACCAACAACTTTCAAATCAAAAAGCCTCTCAAAAAAAGAAATCAAAGCAAGATTACCATGGAACAATAAATGTATTAACCATACCACAAAGAAGCAATTAACCACCTGTTAAGTTCTAATTATACGTACAAATGTTGTAGGTTGTAAACAAAGTCATCTACGTTGTACGGTCATGAATGAAGAGGGGTAGTGTTTGAGCTGTATTTTGTAGAAGTACATATTTCGGTGTAAATGCATATAACCATTGATATAGAAGGCTTGGTACATATACATGCATAGTGACTTTGTGCTGTGGGAAATGAGGATGGGGTTCATCTTAGGGCTGTGATTGGCGAGTGAAAATCCCTCGTTGTCCCTTAGTGTTGGATACGGAAGCTTGTGTGAGAAATGGAAATGTGGTTTTTTTGCGTTACATGTGAGATTGACTTGTTATTTTCAGCTTTATTGTTCCTCTACACAGATACCTATTATTCTATTCTTCTATTATTCTTACTGGATACCCTATGCCGAGGTCAATACTAACGGGCTTATTCGGAAATCGACGGTAATCCGGGGTAAAATCAGCATTGGATAACATGAGTATACCACTAGTTACCACCCTGTACTAGCTTGGAAACAAAAGCCCGGGTTCAGTGCGAAGCTCATGCTAGTATGGAAATCCTAAACAATCCTAAACACTAGGTGTCAAGTATCCCCCCCACCACGCGGAAACACCAGGGATCCGAAGAGACGGTGAACATCCCGCATCTACATTCTAAAAGTAATGAAGCCAGATATACCTCCCCCTGCAGACATGATGGGGCCAAGAAAGAGCGATATATTTCTATCCAATACTTTTCAATTGAACAGCTCAGTGTTAGTCAACCTGCAACCAACCCCCGTCTATCCTATGTTGTAAATGCTGTCATCTGTCCGAATGACGCTAGATAGTGGAAAAGCTGCTCTTAGTCCCTATTATATTCCCCTATAACGTACTAGAGCATTATGTACGTTGTACATCGCTCCGGGGGACTCCATCGCACAGAGACCCCACGCGGTTCTCACGACCCCGATAGAGAGATGTGCATGATTGACCGAGTATTATTACGTAGCAGCGATCGTCTAGCAATCACTAACAGGAATTAGAGTCCAAAAATGGGGGATTTCGCTTTGAGGATGATCGAGTTGACCAGCTGAACGTTGGAAGTAGCGAGTGAGCACGGGTATAAACGGAGGAATATGACAATTGGTTGAAAGGGGATTTAGGATTTTCAACCAACGAGGACAGTGTCCCTTGGAGAAACTGGGATTTACCTGGATTTGACCGAGTAGGGGGTTTCATAGCCCGGATGACTGTGCCAATTTTATATTGTAAGTATACATATACAGTAAGAAGAATGGTCTGATCTTGTCACTAGTTATACAACATATGCCCCATTTACAAAATGATAATCCCCCACCTACCATATAGAGTAATAAAGCACGTCTGAAATGTTCACCTTGTGTCCGGCTAAGCGCTCAACAGAATGCCCCCCCAATCACATCGGATGAATGGGCCACTAATGGATTCCAAAGGATAGCTTTGGAGAGGTACCCCTCAACTTTCATACATCGGAAGTCCATAGGACCTCGGGACTCTCCCGCCACAACACTGCACCCAGTGTGTCGGCTTGGTGCGGGGCCTGATCGAATCACGACTTAGGCTACGTTGTGCAGATTGCACAGCCTCACTCCTCTAATGTGGTGGCGGAACTATCAAAGCTACTTTGTCTTGTATTTTCTTAATATTCTAATATTCTATAAT